ATCCTTCAAGAGTATATTTCCAATTACTTATCCCATCAGTCTGACTATTGTTATTGTTACACGTTTTACTTTAATATATGCTATCTATCCACAACGTATTGCTACTTTTTAAAATTGAAATGTAGTGACATATGATTTTATATTAGTTTCAGGTGTACAACATAGTCATTTGACAATTATATATATTACAAAATGCTCATCATGATAAATGTACTTACCAACTGTCACCACACAAAGTTACTGACTACATTCCCTATGCTGCACTTTACATCCCCATGACTTCGAAAGCAAAAGAGTAGTGTATTGCCACTCTCTTGCTTTAGAGAGTCAGTTGTCTTGTAAGGTGATTAAAAACAGAAAAATGTCTCTTCCATTTACCTTTATTCGTCCATTCCAGAGATCTTTACTTCTTTATGTAGCTCTTTCTGGAGGCAGAGAGAATGTGATACGAGAGAGAAACCCGGATCTACATATGGAAATGAACTGTTCTGACATGCCCGCCGGAGGCCTGTCTTCCTCCCTCCTCACAAGTGTGCCAGTGCCTCCATCCCATTTCTTCTTGGAGGCTCCTGTCCTTCTTTGGAATTCAGGTTAATTGGTTGCTCTGCAACCTCAGCTCTCTGAGTTTGACAAAAGTTGTAATTCTATAGACTAACAATTTTTAAAAATTGTGATTAGTGTGGTAACGATGCTCTTCCCAGCTTTCTGCATCCTGGATGGAAGCCAGAAGTCTCAGCCATCTACTTTTCCAGGGCTCCTTCCACCTCCTTTTGCCATCTGCTCCTGGGGCCGCTGCCTGGGTCTTTCTCTTGCCTGACACCCTTCCAGCTTAGCCCCCTGAATTATCTCTAGCTTGGATGCTTTTCCCTCTCTACCTCTTCATGTGGCAACTGTCTGGCAAAGAGAAGGGATGGAGGTTCCAGATCTCTCACCATCTTGGGGACAGGTCGAAAGAACCCATGGAGTTCTGTTCCTGGGGATAAGCCTGGAACGGGGAGAAATGGTTTTGGGAGCTGAGCTCTCACCCACTGTACTCCCGAGTGGGTCTCATTCCTCTGTGCTAGGAAGTGGGACCAAGTATCTCCTTCATCCAGTACTGAGGACTAAGAATCAACCTGACTAAAACATTTCTTGGAAGATAGAAACTGCAACAGGACAGAACGGGAATAGGCTGGGAGCAGAGGTTACAAGCACAGTCCCTGGAAGCAGCCTCTGTGGATTTGAATTTCATCACTTATTTGCTGTATGGCCTTGGACAAGTCCCTTCACCTCTCTGTCTCTCAGTTTCTGGATCTGTAAAATGGAAATAATAATAGCATTTACCTCACAAGATTGTTAAAAGGATTAAAAGAGTTAATATATGCAAAGCACTTATAACAACAACGGAATTATAATAAGCTCTGTAGAAGTATTAACTATTAGGGTGTACTTCCTATAATTTCAGAAATTCACAGAAGCAAGCACTTTCCTCCCTTTCTCAGAACCCATTACAATCAAAACACCTAATGTTTATTGAGCATCTCCGAAGTGCCCACATCCTGTACTAAGCATTTTATATGGATTATCTCATAAGTGGTAGGGATTAATTATTCCTACCTAATAAGCAAGGAAATCAAGGAACAGAGAAATTAAGTGTTTACACAGCTGGCTAGATGCAGAGCTAGGTTTGCAACCCAGGAGGGTTGGACTACCACGCCTGTGCTCTTAACCACTTGCCTACCACTTGCCTCCCACAAACTAGTTTCCTTGCTTGTAAAATAGTGGGAATGCTACTTGCTGTATTTCTCTCACAGGGTTGTTTTAAGATCCCACTAACAATAGATGAAGCAGCGGTTTGGGTATCTGTAGAGGGCTGGTCCCCTGACAGGGAAACCTGAATATGTCATGACTCCATCCCTTTGCACATGCCCATCCCCCCTCTTCTCTGCTTGTTGAACTTATTTCTTCAAGACTCGGCTGAGATATCAGCACCTAGATTTTATTCTCACAATGGAGGGATTTAAGCAGGGGGTGGCGTTTTGAACGCAGACTTGGGTTTTGAAATGGTGGCTGACTGCTGTGTATTATGGGGGGGGGGGGATGCAGTGTAGCAGGGCCAGAGTGAGTACAGGAAAACCAGATAGAAGGCTACTGGAGGAGCCAAGGGAGAGAGAGTGGTGGAAACGGAGAGGAATGGTGGATTGAAAAGTTATTTAGGGAAGAGAATCGACAGGGAATGGAGGTGTATTTAGCACAGGACAGGGAGGTGCCAAGGATGACTCCCAGTTCCTGGCTTGCTCGCGGATGTTTGTTGAGTGAATGAACGAATGACCCCACGGAAGAAGTATTCCCGACAGACACCCCCGACCCGGTCCTGTTCCCGCGGCTTCTGGAGCTGTGAGCACAAGGGGATGGGTGGGAGGGCGGAGGAAAAGAATGGGCACAGAATCTCAGTCCAGGCGCTGCCAGCTTGGACACTTACCGCACTGGTTTGAGCAGGAGGCACGGAGAGGGGGCAAGCGTTTCCTCCGTCGGCCCCACAGTTTGTGCCTTGCCCCTCCACCCCCGCCAGTCTGAATTCGCAGCGCCCCTGTTCGCGCCCTGGAGGACTTGGCTCCACGCCGGCGTCTCGGGGCGCGGCGGAGCGGCCCACCCCTGCAGCCCTGACCCGCCCCGTCCCGGCGCCCACCCCGCCCAGTGCGCTGGAAGCCTGGGCGGCGGCTCGGTGCGATCCCGGAGACAGAACCCGGGGCTGCCGGGTGAGTCCTAGGGTCAGGGGGGCCCTCCGCCGCGGCGCACCTGCCCTGATGCGCGGCACCGGGTCAGTGCCCTCCCCGCTCCACCAGGACCCCTTCCCCGCTGCGCCTTCTCGCCCAGGGTGCGGGTGCGTTGCGGCGGGGCTGCCCGGGAGTCGCCAGCAGCAAGTGCGCGTGGGTCGACAACCCGCGCGTGTCCCCGCGGCGGGGATGCGCTGCCGAGGGCGGCGCAGCAAGTGGATCTGAGCGTGCGGAGCCGAGCGCCCCGGCAGCGGGCGGAGTGCGGACGAGCGCGGCCAGCTGCGGGGCAGGGATGCGCGCCGGGAACTTTTCCCCTGGCCTGGAAGTGCGAGCGGCCGCGCCCGAGGGGGCTCCCCAAGGCCGCCGGGAGGGAGGCGAGCGCGGGTGCCCGCCGCCGCCCCTCCCCCACTTCCGCCGCCCGCCGCTTCCTCGTTCCCGGCTCCCAGGGCCCGGCCGTCCCGCGGGAGCCTCGGCGGCGCAGCCCCACCCCGGCCGGCGCGGCTCGCTCCCACGCCCCCGCCGCCGTCTCGCCGGAGCCGAGCGACCGAGGCAGCGGGGGCGCGGGGCGCTGCAGGTAGGGGCTCAGCGGCGGGGGCGCAGAGGCGGCGGGCGGGCCAGGGCTGGGGGCCCGCTGCACTAGCCGGACGCCCTGGGGCCCTCGGCCGCCTCCTCCCCCCACCCGCGGGCGCGCCCCGGCCCTTTTTAGGGAATTTTCTCGCTCCCGCGGACTCCAGGGCGGGTGGGGCGGAGACCGGCAGGGCGCTCTGCATTTCTGGGGCTCCCCGGGCTCTCCAGGCTCTCCAGACCTCGTCTTTTCCCCAGCACCTTTCGTCGCGTAAACAACTCCCTTCCTCTCCCCGGCCCCGGCTCCGCTGCCCCCTGGGGAGAGCCCCTCAGGTCTCGGGAGATGGTTAGGGGGAGGGCGAGAGGGGCGTCCTGGCACCCCCGGCCCGTGGGCGCCCCCACCCTCGTTCTCTCCCTCCCCCGCCCGGCCGCTGGAGCAGATGGCCCCAGGGGCCCCGGGTATTTTTAGCGCTGTGACCTGGGCGGCAGCTCGGAGAGCCTTTCCCAGGAATCGGCGTCAGCGCCTCCCTCCCCGGCTGCCAGCCGGCGGCCACCGGGTCTCCGCACACTGTCTTTGGCCCTGGCTGGCCCACTTGGGTTTGAGCCCCTCGCGGCCCGCAGCAGCGCCTGTGGAGGTGGCCGGGGTCTCCGACACAGCGTCCAGATGAAGCGAGGGAGGCAGGCTACAGAGGATGACGAGCTGGTCCTCAAGCCAGATACTCCCTTGCCTCCGGTGATGGGCTCTGAGCGCTCTGCCTGAAGGAGATGGAGTGAATGCGAGTGGAAGTATAGGGCCTGGGCTGGCCCAGAGCTCTGGTGTTCTGGAAAGCTCTCAGCACTGGGGACCGCGGGGGCCTGGTCTGCGTTGGACCCAGGACCCGCCCTTCCAGTTGCTACTCACTGACGGGTGGGGATACAAGACTGAGATGTGTCAGAGGAGAGGTGCTTAAATAAAGACGTGGGGAGCACGGAGAAGAAAGAGATGGGGAGGCCTCTAAATAGCCCAGTATCTGGGCTTTACACTTTACAGAGCACCTGCACCAGCAGCCCCTGCGTTGTGTTTGAGGCAGGTAGGACTATTAAGTCATTTTCGGGTGGGAAGACTGAGGCTGGAAAGATGATTTCCTGAGGGGCAGAGCCAAGTCGGGAAGTCAGGTCTGTGACTTCAGAGCAGGGTTTGGAGGGGATGGTGGTGATGGGGTGTGTGGGGGGGAGGGGGTGCTTTAGTCTTTGGGTTTTGAAGGCTGGGCATGAACCAGAGTTGCAGCACTTGAGCACCCTGAGATCCCCATCCCACCGTCTTCCATGGCCTTCCGAGGGGTGCCTGGGTCCGTTAGAAGTGCCTCCTTCTTTTGGGCTGGACCAATCCCTCCAACTGCTCTCACCAGGGCATGATACTGAGACTTGGCTCTTGGCCCTGTTCCCTGAATACAGAGGCGCTTCTTTTGCCGTGCCTGGAACCAGCGTCCCCTTTGTGGAGCCAGGCTCAGCCCTGCCTCTCTCTGAGACTTGAAGTTTGTAGTAACGGACTTTGTTTCAAGGAAGGGAAGGAGGTGGCCAAGTCCGGTGGTGTCCAGGCTGCAACGCCAGGATGCTGGCTGCAGAGGGGCTCCCCAGGCCCAGGCCCCCGTTGTGTTCCCTCTCAACTTCATAGCTCTACTTGCCCTTTCCACCTCCCAGGAGCCGACATGGACCCAAATCCTCGGGCAGCCCTGGAGCGCCAGCAGCTCCGCCTTCGGGAGCGGCAAAAATTCTTTGAGGAAATTTTGCAGCCTGAGACGGAGTTTGTCTTCCCCCTGTCCCACCTGCATCTCGAGTCGCAGAGACGTAAGCTCTTGAGTCCTGGGGCGAGGGACTGGAATGGGGGGGGTAGGTCTCGTAGGTCCTGAATCATGGGAGCCTCTTCCCTTGTTTTTTTGGCCCTCAAAACTTCTGTCTCTAGACCTGACACATATCTTTGACCATCCTAGGAGCTCTGGGGGCTCTGGCCTGTGTCCTCCTGACTTGCCCTCTTCTTGATCTGCAGCCCCCATAGGGAGTATTTCATCCATGGAAGTGAATGTGGATGCACTGGAGCAGGTAGAACTTATTGACCTTGGAGACCAGGATGGAGCAGATGTGTTCTTGCCTTGTGAGGACTCTCCACCAGCCTCCCAGACATCTGGTATGGCCCTTGGCTTGGGGGACTTGGGCACCAGTTAGCCAGAACCGGGTGGCAGGCTCTGAAGTGAGGCTGCAAGGCAGGGCTGGAGAAGTATACATGTAGGGGCTGGAAATGGGTGTTTCTACGAATGAAACAGCTGTCTGTTCTGGTTTTAGGGAAGTTGACCCCGAGGGGAACTGGGTGACAGATCTCCAATCTAAAATTCTGGGAATGCCCCAGCCCCCCTTAGCCTTTGTTAATTTTGTGTTTGTGAAATTAATGTGATTAATTCACGTAATTAAAATCATATAAAATATAAATTTTTATATTAGATAAGCCATTTTAGTCCTCTTCATACGAATATTTACTGAGCACTTTTTTTTTTTTTTTTAAGGTTGCTAATAACTGTGCTCAATTAACTCAATCCTTACAATGTCCTATTAGGGCAGGCAGTAGTATCCTGATTTTATAAAGGAGGAAATTAGACTCAGAAGTTGTCACACAGCCAGAAAGTGGAAAAGCTGGGTTCAAACCATGGCTGTCTTGTTCCAAAGCCCGTATGTTTAGCTTATAAAATAGATAGTCTCTTATTTAAAGCTGCCGCTGTTTATTGATGGTCTACTGCATGCCAGACATTTTATAATCATTCCTCGATTGATTTTATCCTCAAAACCCTTCTGGAATGTAGGTGCCTATCCCATTTTTAGAGAAGATTCAGTCCTTGAGGGGGAAAATGACTTGCCCAGAGCCGCTCGGGAGCCAGTAAGTGACGTAGGTAGAGCTTGAACTCTTGAATTGATTGACCTGAGTCTAGGGCCCAGACATGGTGTAGTGAAGTGGAAGGAACTGGCAGTCAGGAGACCTGGCTCTTTGTAGACTGGCTCAGTGACTGGTCACGCCCCTGCCCTTCTCTGGGCTTCAGCCTCTCCTGGCTGGACCATCTCCGAGAGTCCCCAGAAGCCCTGTTTGTGGCCCTGACCAACTCTTCTTTTCTGGGCAGGGCTGGATGACCACCCGGAGGAGTTGAGCCTGCCAATGCCCACGCCAGACAGGACTGCGTCCCGCACGTCCTCCTCATCTTCTGACGACTCCACCAACCTGCACAGCCCAAATCCCAGTGACGGCGGGGCAGACACGCCCTTGGCACAGTCTGATGCGGAAGAGGATGGGGCTGATGGAGGGGCAGAGCCTGGAGCTTGCAGCTAGCAGTGGGCCCCCATCTACAGACTGACTGAGCTGGCTCTTCTCCGCAGGAGACCCTAGGCCCAGCCAGAGCCCTTCAGAGAAGACCAGACTCTTTACTTGCAGTAGGCACCAGGGGCAGGCAAGGACAGTGGGATGGCGTACCTCTCTGGGAAATAACCCTCCTGCTTTACTGCTAACCTTTCCTGCTACAACCCTCCCACCAGTTTTTGGCTTCCTCCCAAGGTAGGGCTTATAGGCAAGGAGATGGAAGATGAGGCAGGACAAGATGCTACTGCTTTTCTTAGCACCCCTCCCTCCCCCAGACTCTCCTGCAGTCTTCTGATAGAGTCTCCTGGACCAGTGTCTCTAAGTGGACGTGAACTCCGTAGCACTCCCCGTGCAGTGGTACTCCAGCCACCCTGCTCCCCTACATCCTGTTCGGGAACAGGGCACGGTATAAATAATAAATAATAATCTACCAACCACTCCCCTTCGTGTGTCACGTTGCAGAGATCTCAGACCCACTATATCTAACCAACACCATCCCCCCATCTCTCATGTGCTCCATCTCTTCAGAAATAGTCCTTGAATACGTGTGCCGGGCATTTGGAGTATAGTTCTGAACAAGACAGGCTGCATCCCTGCCTTTGGTACTTGACTGTCTCTGGAGGAGAAAACCAAATAAACACCACGGTTCACAGTGTAATCAGTAGCATGATGAGGAACAACTCTGGTATCAGAAAACAGCTCGTGTGGCCACCAAAGAGCTGATTTTTTTAAGCTGAGATCCAGAGGCTGAGTAGGAGTTTGCCGAGTGGGGGCTGTAATTCAAGCAGCAAGAGCAGCTTGGGAAGACTGTAAATGGAGAGAAATAGCTCTGAGGAACTGAGGAACATTCAGCTGGGCTAAACTGTTGGATTTGGGGACGAGAGGAAAGAGGTAAGACTGACAGAGGTTAGTCATGAAATACTTGGAAGCCTGTATCAAGTTTCAATTTGGCTGCTAGTAAAAGGTCAGAGACTTAAGATACAAATTTATTTCCTCATATAAAAGACATCCGAAGTGCAGGACCATGTGGCTGCTCCAAAGTTACTGGGCGCCTGGGTCCTTTTTGGCTCTTTTTGCTCAGCCATCCCAGCCACGTGGCTCGAATTCCCATTGATAGCTCCTGTCTGAGATTGCCGCTGAAGCCCCGCTCATCATGTCCTTGAAACTGGCAGAAAGTGGGAGAAGAAAGTGGGGACGGGCAAAGCACAGCCTGCTCTCCGTTTCTACTTCAGGAAGCGTCCTTGGAAGTTCCAACCAGTCGTGTCCACTTTCATCTCACTGACCAGAGAGTGCTAACCCAAGAAAGGTTTCACTTACAGGTATTTTATAGACATAGGGACACAACATTATCTGGAAGAAAGAAAATTCTGGCCTCTGGAAAGACAGTGACCTTTTCAAGTCACTGAATTACCCGTGCCTCTGATTTCCGTGCTACCTTTCAAACCTCTCAGAAGCACCGTGGCTACTGGAGAGGCTGGGGTGGTCCTTTAGTAGAGCACACTGCTGTCTTGATAAAAACCAGGCTGTTTCTAAGGAACAAGAGGAAATAGTCTTTGGATAGGTAACTAGCAGTTGACGTGTTAGGGGCCATGTTAATCTGAATTTTATGGGGAGTAAGGGAGGATTACAAGTGGTTGCATTTGCTTGTTAAAAAGGTAATTCTGGCCACAGTGTGGGGAATATACTGGAGGGGAAAGGCTCAGGACAGACACCTAACACAATACTCCATATGCAAGAGATAATGGTAGTGATCAGCTTGACTGGGTTGAGGCAGGGTATAAAAAATAAATGACATTCATTCAATAAATATTTATTAAATGTCAGTGTTTAACATGTGTAAGACACTGAACAAGGAATGTAGAGTGGGGGGAAGAAAAAGACACAGTGCTGCTTTTATGGGAGTCTAGTCTAGTGGGGGCCCAAATGCAAAATTGCGACTATGACCAGTTCAAGGAAGGAGTTCATAGCCTGTTAAGAGCAGTCACAGGGGCATTTCCCTTGAAGTGGCATCTGACCTGAGCCCTGAAGGATAGGAAGGAGTCAAGGAGGGGAGTAAGGAGTGAGGGGGGCGGGGGCGTGAGGGGAGAGGCTCCTTGTGGCCTGCCCACTGGAGAGCACCAGTATGGCTGCCTGGGAACCAGGAGCCATGCTACATAGCGGGGTAGTGGACTAGCGTGGAGGTGGACAGGATGTAGAAAGGTGGAAGGAGTGAGGAGAGATTTAGGAGACAGTTTCCAAAAGATTTGACAGGTAAGTGAGAGGAAGGGGTCAAGGGTGCCACCATTGTTTCTCCCTTGCACAACAGGATGATGTGGAATGCAGGGGAGAACCAGGTTTGGGAAGAAGGTCACAAATTTGGTTTTGGCCATGGTGAGCTCGAGGTGCTTTCGAGACCTGCAGGAGGACATGTTGGGTAGGCACTCGGACCCACGTGTGTTGGATTTAGAGAGGATTAGGCTGGGAAAATAAATAGATGGAGCTACCAATGTGTAGGTGGTAAGTGAGTGAGTGTGCCTTCCCGGGGAGGGAGGGGGAGTGGAAGGAGAAAGGAGGGTTCTAGGACCCAACCTTAAGGGGCATCAAGTCATTTCTCACATCAGAAAAAAGAAATCATTCCACCTCCCTTTGTACATCAAACACCACCATGGGATCAATGGCCTTCAGCCTAAATCCCGAAGTTCTTTGTGCCACCCAGGCTGAGTGAGTGACAGGCCTGCAGTCTTCCCATAGTCCCAGCCTGCTTCCACCCCTGCAGGAGGCCATTGTAAGTGACAGCTCTTAAGTGCTTTTCCTAGCGCTGGTGAGAAACTTGTGGGAGTTTTGTGCTCCTTTTGTCTAAAAGCCTCTGTGTCCAAGTTGAGATCATCTACTAAACTGGGCCGGGGCTCAGTCTCATGTGAAATTTTGCAGTTTTTCTGGGTTGCTTATGACTTTGCTGCACACAAAGGACATGGCTCTGTCCTTGTGCCCTCTCCTTGCCTTTGGAGTAGCAAATCTCAACTACCTGTCTGACTGTGGCTGAACCTTCACCTGGGCTGCAGCCTATGAGCCCATGGCTCTGCTATACAGGGCTTCTCAGCTTCCAGGATCACCCTACTCCCCTCCGAGGCAAACGATGGGAAGCTAGACCAGCTTGGTTGCTGTCAGTATGTCAACAAATCTCTTAGTACTCCAGGCACGTGATGCTAAGATCTGTGGGACTTGGGGCATTTTGCCTGCCAGTCTTCTGGAGAGGCAGAGTTGTGTGTGAGCCTCTGGGGAGCCCCCAGTTAAGCTGCTATGAGCCCCAGCCTTGCCTAGAAAAGTCTAGGGTCAGCTGAGACCCCAGGACTACTTCCTGCTTGGACAATGATCTCTTCTTCTGCCAAACCACAGGGGCTTGGCGAGCCTTCAGAGCCAGCATCTCCAGCTGACTGTTTCTTGAGGCCACGCAGTGCCCCTGGAGAGGAGAGAATGATTTGGAGCCAGCTCCGAGGCAAGCAGCCCAGCTTTCAGTCTCCAAGCCACAGCGTGGCTGCTTCTGTCTCTTGCAGACTTGTCACAGACTCTGGGGAGGAGGGAAGCAGACAGACTCATCCTGTAGAATCCTATGCTGTGGAGGAAATAGGAGGGACCACAACTCAGGAGACGATTCCCTGGAAGGTGCACACTGTAGCAGTCCCTAAAGAATGCACAGAACCTGACACTGAAGAGCATGGCAGTGTGGGGACAGTATCAACTGTGCTGTGACTTACTTGTTCAGACATTGCTGAGCACCTAGTATGTGCTAGCCTCCTTGCTGAGGCAACAGGAATACTAAGGTGACCAGGAGCTCTTCCAGGAGCAGATGTGGCCACAGATAATGGAAAGAGAACACAGGCTGGAGCAGAAGTGAACAGAAGACCGTAGCACACTAGAGAGGGAGAAGGTAAGTCTCCTGGAGGTGGCTGGGTCTTCAATGATGGGGACAGGCAATTTCAAAAGGAGACAAAACATAGAAATATAAAATAATCATAATGATGGTAGCTCCTTTTTTTTTTTTTTTTTTTTTTTTGAGGTTGATGGTGTGAACTCTAGGCCTGGCTTCATGACTCGCTGCGATCTTAGGCAATATTTCAGTTTCTGTACCTGTTTTCTCATCTGTAAAATGGAGATCATAGACCCCACATCAAGAATTGAGTCAATGATGGTCAATATTATTAAGCACTTAATACATTCTAGATCCTACATAAAAATAATTTCTAATCCTTAACAACAACCCTGAAAGTAGGTTTATCCATTTTACAGAGGAAGAAAAGTGACCCTCGGGTTGCTCATGCTCCTGTGGATTAAAAGCTGGTGTGGGGATTTGTCTGACATCTAAACTCGTGGCCTTTATTCCATGTCTAGTGGGAGAAGAACACTAGATGGAAGTAGAATGAGGGCATAATGACAGAAAGACATCTTTTTGACACTTCCTCTTTGGTTGGTTGGGGTATATCTTGGCAGACCCCAAATTTGGCTCTTCGTAGAAGTACGGTTGTGAGTTTTACCGAGACTAGGAGCAAAATCCTTCATGAATGTGCTCCTCATAGGGTAGCTGGAAAAACCCAAGCAGGAATTTAACATCAGAACTCCTACAACTCAATAATAAAAAGGCAAACAAGCCAATATAAAAATTGGGAGGGGGTACAAAATGATTTTAACAGACTCCTCACAAGAGAAAATATTTGTATGGCCAATAAGCATATGAAAAGATGCTCAATATCATCAGGTACCAGGGAAATGCAAAATAAAACCACAATAAGATACCACTACATAAACCATATGGCTAAAGCTAAAAAGTCCTCCCAAATTAAAAACAAATGTTGAGCAGGATGTGGATCAACCAGAACTCTCATATATTGTTGGTGCAAGTATAAAATGATACATTTTGGAAAAAGATCTGGCAGTTACTTAAAAAGTTAAACATTACCTATGACCTTTGACCACTCCTAAATATTTACCCAAAGGAAATAAACATATGTCTACAAAATAACTTATACAGTAACCTACTTCATAACAGCTAAAGACCTGAAAGAGTTCAGGTGTTCATCACCAGGAGAATGGATAAACTAAGGTATATTCATACAATGTGAAACCACACAGCAATAAAAAGAAACTGCTGATACATGCGAGAACATGGATGATTCTCAGAAACATTCCTCCTGTGAAAGAACTCTTACACAAGAAAATATACATACTATACGATGGTTTCACTTACGTGAATCTCTAGAACAGATTATATTGTGGAGAAAAATCATAATAGTGGTTGCCTCTGGAAAGTAGGAGGGGGCAGGGGCGCCTGGGTGGCTCAGTCGTTATACGTCTGCCTTCGGCTCAGGTCATGATCCCAGGGTCCTGGGATCGAGTCCCACAATCGGGCTCCCTGCTCGGCGGGAAGCCTGCTTCTCCCTCTCCCACTCTCCTTGCTTGTGTT